ACTTTCTGCAAGATTTTGTCCTGTACTTCATTAGCTGCACTTGTGAGAGTAGGAGGATGAGTTGTGCAGTGGTGTTTGCTATACTTTGTACACTGTAGTTGGAGATACAGTCTGGTTTCTTTCACACATTTCTGTGATGTGACAGCTGCTCGAGCCAAATTTAAGGTTCGAAATAACTTGTAGAAATACAGGAATGTGAGTAGATCACAGCTTCTGGGATGGACCTGTGGCCACTTGATCTTTACTAAACTGGAAGAAGGTGAATAGGTGGGGCTTTCATGGAGAGGGAAAGGTACTGCATGAAAACTGAAAGACGCTGATGTGGCAGGAAGGCTGAGAGCTCTGCCACTTAAAAGGGCTCTTTTGAAGGACATTCCCTATTCACATTGATCAGTTATGGCTGCCAAGTCCTCATTTAGTTCAGAACTGCCCTCATCTCTGACTGAAGACATCAAAAAAATGTTCTGGTTGCTCATTTGTTCTGCTGGTGTGGACCTATGCACAGCAGCTTTCTGCTTTCCCCACACTTTCGCTCTAGTGAGTAGAAAGGTCTGGTTAAGTGTTTTACACAAGAGGGAAGCAAGCAGAGCCTGTGGCTGTCAATTGACACAGAGCAGATTTGTAACAGCTGCAGATCTGGCATTTCAAGTCAAAATACAATGAACTGGTATGCTTTCATGAAAAGTCTTTAGCCTACGGAACAGGATAAAGATGATGGAGGAGGACAAGTCCCTGGAAAGTTAAGGAGTATAATAAATGCATCCTTTATTTGCCTATGCTTTTGCATCTTTCTTTTGGAGTGGGATGGATAGATTTTACTGCTTTAGGAAGGTAGAAAAGCTTGGATTCTTACTCTCTGTTGTTGAAATGTTGAGATCTTCAGTTTCAAAATGGACCCTTTGAATGTGTCATCCCTTCTGCCCTTGTTCTGACACAGCAGAACAATTTGTTTGAATGCTTGCCTCTAGCCATGCTCGCTTCAATCATCAACTCAAGGTTCCTTGCAGTCAGATCAAAGAGATGGAGCTTTGCAGGATACCTTTTACGGTTTTGAAAACACTTTTTAGGAGCACTGTGCTCAGCTGATATTTATATTTATATTTATATTTATATCTGGGCATGCAGCATACACTAATAGGAATAGGAATTGCTGGCACTATATGCAAAGAAATGGCTACATTCCCCATATTTTTTTACTGTATTTGCTAGGTGTCACATTAGAAGGACTGAAGCTGTGGTGACGGACTATCTATCCAACCACTGCAGCAAATCATGTAGCACCAAAACTGCTTTGCTAAGAAGCAGAACAATTCTCATTTTCAAAAATAAATTCTCATTTCATTCAAGACTGGAATGCAATAGTTTGAATGACTCTTATGTGTCATAAGGGCTCAGTCTGGACAAGTGGGCAGAAGCTGGTTATGTTTCATTCTACGATCACAAAATTTTGCATGTTACTGCTAATTAAAAATACTTCAGAGAAGACACTTTAAATTCACATTGCTACAGATAAGAAATGTGATGCAAATTTGGAACCATGAAAGTTTAAAATCTTCTAAAACCTTGGGGTTTTAAACTTGTCTAATTATGTAGTGCAGCATAAGCCTAATTCATATAGTCAAACAGATCAGAACATATACATATATACTTATATAACATAAGTAATTTCTTAAAATATCTTCAAAGCTGACTAATTTGTCGTAGCAGAAAAGAGCCTATGACAATAATATGTACTGATATACATAATATACTACTAACAGTATTAATACAAACTAATACTATCTTGTTTGGTTTCAAATACATAAACTCATGTTGTACGACTGGGTTTGAAACAGAGAGAAGGAGTTCATAGGGAAAAGTTATCTAACAATTAAGATTCTTCCTGTTCTTGGAATGCCTGTTTTGATTTTATTTGCTCCTGAAGATTATGTGAAGAATATCTCTCTAAAGTTCACTGTGCAGATAAATTCCAAATATTCGACATTTTCAATTGTAGGTTTCATTATCATTGGTCTTATCAGTGATATTGTGTATTCTATTTCCCAGATGAAATGACTACAACTTTTTTCTGAGATCCTTGGAATTAAATTCATCTGAGCTAGTCATGCTAGGCTCTCTTTCTACACAGATTTAGACACTTCCATAATATGAATCATGACCTCCTAAACCAAATATCTAAAATAGATCTGGTGATTCATATCTAACAGAGTCTGCTTTTCTCCTTTAGCTACAAAGGGGTTACAGGGTGACTAGCTTGGGTGTTGATGTCCACATTGTCGAAGTCTGAAGCTAGCTGAGAGGAATCCCACTCTTGATTTGATGTATATATAATTTGATTATATTTGCATTAAAGAGTGCTGTAAAATTAAGTTTTTCAGGAACTTTATTGTTCTTAAAAGCTAAGCATGATGGAAATGTAGACTGGTGGATAGTAGAGGAGCAGCTCTCTAAGTGGTGGGTGACAGCCTAGCACTTGTCAGGACTGAGTTAGTGTGAAGTTGCAGATTTCTTCTCTGACCTCAGGCAGATCACATGAAGTCAGTTTCCCTAAAAGGAAGAAGTGTTTAGCAATTTTTCTGTCTCGCAAGGACTTCTCTGGGATTAATACAATGGCGCTGTGAGGGGATCTAGTTATCTTTCTATTCAGATGACTCAGAGCAGATGAGTTTTTAAAATTCACAAATGCTTATAGAGTTAAAAAGATTTGCTTCACAGGGAAAAATGAGCTGGTCCAAAAGGTAACTTTTCACTGCCTGAGTTTAAAAGACTATCGTGTTACAAAAAGAACTTAGTATCAAAGATGTTACAGGGAGCTGGGAAGAAGTGCAGCTGGTGTAAGATTTCTGCTTTCTAGATCACATAATAAAGTAGGCTCACGCATGTGTGCTGTGGGAAAAAATGACTACACAGGTTCTCTGACTTAGCAAGAATTGGTGAAGCCACGTCTGTGCCATCTCAGAATGAGGAAGAGAAGTCATCCATCCTTTGGAAAAGTTAGCACCCATTTTTGCCTTTTACTTAAGACAGAAACCTTCCCTGATTACCATGGTCTTTCAAAGAAAATCAAGACTGGCATCACAATGATGCTGGCCAGCTCCCTGAGTGTTTGAGTGTCTCCCATCAGATCCCAGGGGCTGGTTTATGTCCAGTTTGTTGCGTTCTTACCTCCTTCACTAAGAGAAAATTTTCCTTGCTTCAGACCTTCCCCTTGGCCTCTGGTGCCTGAGATACTGAAGGATGATCTTACCAGTAAAAACAGAGATGGAAAAATCATGGTGACCTTGGTCTTCTCCATGGCTTTTTGCATTCCCATTCAGCAGCAGACTTGCATTTTCCTTTTGCTACTGTTGCTGCTGTTGTACCTGTAGTAGCTCTTTTTTTTTGCCCTTCATGTCCTTTGCCAGATTGAGCTCCCAATGGGCTTTGGCTTTCTAATCTCATTGCTCGACACTTGGACAGTGTCTTTATTCCTCCTGGGTGCTGACCCATGTTTTCTATCTCCTGTACGCTTCCTTTTTTATGTTGGAGTTTTGTCAGGAGCAGTTTGTTCATCCATGAAGGCCTCCTTTGCCTCACAGGTCTGGATGGATCATTCTAGATCTTGGAGGAGGTGATCCTTGAAAGTCAGTCAGCTCTCCTGGAACTGTTCCCATGGGATGCTTCCAAGCAGGTCCCTGAAAAAAAGTCCTCTCTTATTGAAGTCCATGGTTGTGATCCTGCCATTTGCCTTGGTCCCTCCTAGAATTCTGAACTCTAACTTGTCTTCTTTTATGAATTTATGATGCTGTGGTACATCGTTCTTTTTTGTCTTTATATACAAATTTAACTGGTGCGTATTTTCTAATCCAGGACTGACCTCTGTCTCCTGCTCCCACTGCTCCATTGGGACAGTACTTGAATTTAGCCTGCAGTAACAGGCTATTAACTGAAGTAGTTCTACAGGATTGAACAACATGGAATAAATCTGTCCTAAGGTGAGAATCGGGCCCCTCAGTCCTTGTAGCAGAACTAATACTGACTTCTATTACACAGTCTTCTGAAGGATTCTCTTATTTATTTATTTATTTTTTTTTTTGTGACTGGTCCACCTTTATTTTATTAAAGTAATGAAATAATACATCTTTACCAACTCCTCAATGCCCTTTATATTAACAAAGCATGCATTATTTCATCTCTGTCTAATTAATATCCTGTTTAATAGGTATCTCACTTCATGTTAGGTTCCTGTATTCTTAAGAATTTTTACTAATTTAATTGAGAGCAGTCTCAAATTAATTGTATAATTAATCTTGTCAAATTAGGTAACATTCATACAGCACCTTATTAAGGAAACTTGAATATTTTAAATTACCATGCTATTAGGCATTAATAAAGAAGTTCTTCCTCTGTATTGTTCTGCTTTATATCACAAAGAAGGTAATTGCAATATAAATTGCAATATAAAAGCTAAGTTCTATAGTACATTAATAATTAGATACACATTATTCCCCATTAAAGCTTTTTCTGTTATTAATTCAATCATAGAATGGATAAGCCTTTTTAAAAACAGGAATAATAACCTCCCCCCCCTAAATACTAGGAATGAACTATTGTGCTGATGCCTGAACAATAAAATGGATAGAACCCGAGCTGTTGCTTGACTAATGTCTCAGAGAAGCAGGTTTCTCAGAAACCTAGTGATGTGCTGTAAACCACTTAAAGATACATGTAGCTGTGGAAAGCTTTCTTTGCATCTCATGTTGCAAGAAAGTGACAAGAAATCTGAAAGTGAAGAGGTGTGCTCCCTGATATGCTCCTGATAATTACAGAGCACAGCAGCCTCCTTGCAGAACCAGAACCAGTTGCCCAGAGACCTCTGGAGGTGACCATAAGGCTGGGTAATGGGAGGTGGCGGCTGTGATGTAGGAGGGGAGAGTGGGTGGGCTGAGCAGAGGGGAATGGATAATGAGAAGCACTATCAATTTTTTATGAGTATATGGAAATTGTACTCAAGGTCAGAAAGCCCAAATACTATATTATATCTGTGGGTGCCAAAGAGATTTTCATTTATGTAATATATTGGTCTACTATTTTAAATCCTTAATCTTAGTGCCTGTAGTTGTGTATACTAAAAGTGCCTATTAGATTAAATACTTTAGGCACAAGAAATCATCCACGCATGAATGCTGAATGAGTAAAACAGCACTTCACATAGGGACATATGCTTGGGTATAATGTGTGGGATACAATAAATTGCAATGTCAGCCATATATGTAGAACAGCCTGTTCTGATAAATTCAAAGTTCCTGCTGAGAGGGAAAACCATAAACTAGCAGTGTGAAAGCTGTTCTCACCAGACAACTGGAAGTACTGGCAACTTACAGGTGCATCACATGAGAATTTACTTAGTTGTCCCTGTGAAAATGTTCTACCATGGGGCAGTGGATTACCTGCCTTGGGCAGCTGCCCATGCAAGGCAAGGAAAGGCTAAGAAATGTTATTTCTTTCCACCCCTTCATCTTACACTCTTCTTCTCAACTCTTCCCTAGGTAAAATCACCCCTGGATTAACTGTAAGTGCTCTCAGCCGTGGTCTTTGGAGTACATTTGAAGCAGTTCTATCAACTCAGCTCTAGGTCTCTTAAGCACAGGTTTGTGAATAGCAGCTCATTTACTTATTTATTCATACAATTGAACAGGAGAAATGTGTTTTAAAACAAACCAGAACATTTTATCTATGCCATTTAAAATAAAAGGGGGAGAGGGAAGTGGGGGCAGGAGACATTGAACTGAAACATTGCATTCAGCCTGACACCAAGTGTTCTCATTTGCTATTTGAGGCTAGACCTTTCCCATTGTCTTTCTATTTATCTCTCTTTTCCACAGGAAGAAAAAAAGAAAGTCCTATTTCAAAGCAGAAATCCAGATTTGTTTTGAATTGAAAAGTTACCAAAAAAAAAAGACCCTCCTTCATTTTTCTTGGCAGAGGCTAATCACCAAATGTGATCAACATTTGCAAATAGGGTTTATCTCCCTCTCCTTCCCTAAATCTGAATCTGCTGTCATTTCTTCTTGGTCTCTCTCTATCAACTTTACTTTTTAGTTTGTTTATTTGGTTGGTTGATTTGGGGTTTTTTTTGGTGACTAAGCTGGCATTGAGCACTTTTCCCTCAGTTCTGCCCTTGGGAGCCCATGATTCCAATGTCCAGCCTAGTAGACTGATTAGATATGATGCAGCTGTCTTCTGGAATGAGGATCTCTGCTGCCACTTCATGTTTATTTGTCAAAAAGAGCATCTTCACAGGATGCACTATCAAAGAATACTTTTCCCACTTGCTCTCTTTTGAGGACAGACATTTCCCAGATTTGTTCTTGTGTGGTAGGGATTGTGATAAAGCACCTAGTTGGTTCAAACAACGTGCTATAGTTCGATAAAACATTAAAGCCTAAGAGGGTAGGCAAACCTGCAAAAGTTGCAAAGCTGTGAAAGCCTTAAAGTTCTCTTTTTTCCAGCAAGAAGAGTATTAGATAAGATGAGGTGCTGCAGAACACCGATAAAAACTACAGTAAGAATTCTTCTGAATAATAGGACTTCATAGCTCAGCAGGTAGTGTGCTGCCATCCTGAAGTGTGAGTGGCATGAGGAGATGGCTTCTGAAGACAAGTGGGAGAAAAAAAAAAAACAGGCTTAGCACAACATGTTGCAGAGAAACGACTTCAAAGTTTTAATAATCAATTCTGATTTTTAACCCTACCGGAAAAAAATGTCACAAACTGTGAAATCCAATGTGCTACACATCCGTGTAGCTGTTACTTGACTGAGTAATTACTGTGGGAGTGACAGTCCCATTACCAGATCTTGGACAGGTAAACACTGAGCGGGAGCTACACGGTCACTGAAGAATGAAATATCAACAAGGTATTGTGTTGGACTTCCTTCACTTTCAGCTTGGTTGTAATCTTCAGGCACTGTGACTTGTATTTTTTACAAGAATATGAGCCCTTTGCAGCTCTATCTAACCCCTTCAAAGAGCGTGGGGTGTAATGTGTGTCTGTTGCTAGTGATACTTTTTTCTTTGTGATTCAGTATGGTTTGAATATGGTGGAGTTCAGTTCTTGCTGCTTTTTTTTCAGAGCCGTCATTCTGATTTGTTTGTGGGTTGTTGTTGTTTTGGGGTTTATTTTTGCTGTGTATAATGATATCTGAATAACCCTGGTGTATCCTTTCTCCTCCATGCAATCTGTAATATTGGCCATTCTGCACTGCACTACTTCTCTTGGAGATTTGACTTCAGTCCTGTCAGCCACACAGCTCATCCTATCACTGGCCTCCTGCTGATAAGACTGACAACGCCAGACTGCACAACTTACCCTCCAAAGAGGAAGCAGGGAGAAAACGTCCCAGAGATATATTTCCTCTGTAGCTTTTATTAAAATCAATCTTGCTCACCTGCAGTGTTTCTTTTATTATTTTAAACATTTTTCCCCTACAGTCATTCTGCATTATCATTCAATGTTAATAAAACTGGTTGCTTGCAGTGAGGAGAAAAAATGTTTTTTTTTATCAGGTGTATATTAGCAGAACATGCTGAGTCCAATTGCTGCTTCTTGCAGTTAGTCATTTGTTTCTTATAGCTCCTCTCCCTCCTCCCCAACATCCCACCTTCTAAAGCAAATAGATTTTGGAAGAGAAGTCTGAACATAGATGTCAAGCCCTAGAGTTGTACTGCAGTCAGTTGGATCACGCAAGATGTGCCTGTTTCGTTAGGGCTTGGAGCTGGCCTATTTCAAGATCTTGAAACCTCCAAGTTGCCACAGGATCCACCCTCATAAATTGCTAGTGTCAGGATCAGTTTTGAACTGTAGGGCAATAGATAATAAACAAGAACAAGTTTATCGAGCTATCTGGGCTTCTTTTGATGCTTTTGTTTGGAACAATGTTATTCATGATGTATTTGATAATACAAGAAAAGCCTTCCACTAGAAACAAAATCCCTAAATTCGTGATCTCTTTAAGACTTTGATCTAGAGCAAATTTCATATTCATGTTCAAGTACTTAGCTTAAATGTTGTTCAGGTTTATGATACACACAGAAGAAATATTTGTGGAAAACTTTAGGTATTTAGGGAGGAATTGGGCTGGTGCTTGGTAGAGCCTTTGGAGCAGAGATGAAAGCAAAATCTTGAGCCTTAAGAAAGAACTTACTTATTTCTGCCATGCTTAGATTCATCCCCAGAAGCAATTCCCAGCACATGCCAGGAAAGGAAAGGCTGATAAACCTCCACCCTTTTGTGATACTCAAGTAAAGGTGATGAAATTCTGTCGCAAGCATCAACAAGCACCAGCACAGAGAGTTTCTCTGATAAACAAGTCAGCGAGCTGAAGTAGTTGCATGGGAAATGTATGCTTAGATGGATAATATTATCACATCATTGGTGGATGGGCTGTGAGAATCAACATGTACAAATCATTTTGAGGAGTACAGGTGGAAGACTCCACATAACAAGTATGTTGGAGAACAGAAGGCTGATGTGGGTTCAGCTTTTTTTGTAAGTACAGACTCCCTGTGGACCTTTGGACGTGTGACTGATTTTATCTCTTCTGAGTAAAAATAAACCTTATAATTGCAAAAGGTACCCCAGCTGCTGATTTGCCACCTGTGCTTTCAGAAAGGAACTTTAGCTAACTCAATTCCTCCCCCCCGCCCCCAGAGCTCTTGCTGTGTCCCAGTCCTAAAGCTGCTGTTGAGGATAATGTCTCAGTTCTCTTCTGCTGTTCTGAACCACTGTTGCTTTCTGAGAAAGTAGTATTTCTGCTCCCCAACATCACAAATCACTTTCTTAAAGAGAAACCAAATCGGCACACAGGGTAAATTCCCTACCCTCAAGTAGAAAGGCCATCTCAAATTTTGTCTTTTCCTTCCTTCTCCTGCTCACTGTTACAGTCCCTTGTGACACCTGGAACAAGACAGCCGTGGCTGCATTTCCAGGCCCTCCCAAGGACATGTCAGCAGCGAACATTCCTATGGGAATGGTACAAAAATGTCCAGGATGCGGCTCTCCTCCTGGCCACTGCTGTGACTGAGAGATGATGCTGCAGGGGAAACAAAAGTTGTTGGGTCCTTTCCTAGATATTGGCATCTTTCGCAAGAGACTCAACACAGCATATAGGTTCTGCTCAGAATGGGTATGGCCCTGTACTGTACAAATGGGATACATTGGCCATGCTGAGTCTGTATGGGAACTCAGACAAAGCCTGCATATCATTAAGGACACATAGATTACTGAAGGTATGTACTGTTCAGCAGAGACTTCAGAATCAGTATTTCCATTAAAGCAATTCTGTCTCTGTGAGTCTGCTTACAGTTCCTTTCAATGTGTGGCTGTAGAAATTGGTCTGGAGAACTGTCTGCACTGAAGATTTGTTGTAAAAGAAATTAAGGGGAGCTGAAGGAATAATGACATGTTTTTAGTCCCATTTCATTTCCTCCTTTGGTGTCAAAAGAAAGCAACTATGAATCATTGTAATGGCATAAGCTGCTTCAATGAGATTTTGGAGCTCTCTGCTCAGAGCGCCATTAAACCAACATGGCAACAATCTAGGGTGCAGTATATCTTATTAAATTCAAGTTAGCCCACTCAACTTTCATCTTGCTACTCTTAGCAACCTGCTCTCCTTCAGAAATGTCCCTGGCTGATGGAAGGTCCCTGCATCTGGCATGCACGTTCTGGGATTTCTCCCATAGTGCAGGGCAGGAGGTAGTCCAGGGAAGCAGAAAACATAATTTGCTTTCCTTAAAACCACCTGCTCCCAGCTGATGTTTTGTTTTGTTTTTTTTTCTGTGAAGATTTTATTTGGGGAGAGACATATAAAGAAAGGACGGGGGGGGGGGGGGGGGGAATGAAAGGCAAATGCCTGCCATTTCAGGAGACCTGAACGTTAAAGACAGCAAGACTTTACAGAACCGCCAGTGTTTCTGAACATGCCACTTCCAGTTAAGGGCAGAGCTACAAGCTCTGTACTTTGCGGTGTTATGCAGTAAGTAGGAGAATACCACCTGGACACTGCCATCCAGCCTTAAATCAGCCCTGTTATGCTAGATAGAATATGCACATACTAGGATACCAGCCAATTACATGACCTTGCAGAGTTTTTCTGTGGGGACAGGAAATGTTCAGAGACCAAATAAGCAAACTGATGGATGATGAGGCAAGGTGTGTAGAAGGAAGAAGCATCCCCTCAAGGAGATTTTATTCCTATGTGCTCCCCAGATTTGTCATGAAATATTAGATGATGAGGCTAGTCCAAACGTCCAGAAATTTCACTGCCAAATACTTGAACCTTTCTAATTACTTTTTCTTTTTTCTTTTTTTTTTTTTTTGGTACTATTTAAGAATTTATAGGTGGAGGGCTTTTTTTAATTATTATTATTATTTTTTAATAATTTCTGCCTTGATTCCAGAGACACCAACTACTGAGAGCAATCCTCTAGAGGAAAAATATCCATTTTACCCTTTTTCTTCATTCTGTTTGAACTCTACAACTTCCCTAATTCCCCCAGGGAACAATTCTCTTCCCTACAGAGCTACACTCCGTTTCAAAATTGACTTGAAAACAAGAAAACAAAAATCTGCCTTTCTTTTTCTTGCTTTCTAAAATTTCTGACAAGGGCCTTTCTCCAGAGAGTCATCTTCTTCAATCTCTTTCTGTTTACTGTCACCTGCCAGCATTTTGCTCTGCATTAAGGAGACAGTAAGCTAGATAAGCTGCCTCTTTTTTTGTGGCTTCTTCTGCCCACAGGCCAGCTTCCAGCTAGATGTATCTGAATCTGGTCTTCATCTTGGTCCCTATTCATTTCTCTAATTACTTGTCTGCATCCAGAACATTCATATTATTCTGTGGATGGGTCTCTTTAATTGGATGCACTTTGCCTTTTTCACTGTTTTCTTTTTCAGTTTGTTCTGCATTTGGGAAAAGTTAGAGGCCATGACTGTGTGTGGGGCATCAGACAGGAGCCTTCTTTAGTGAGATACTTGCTATTAAACTATAGTAGGAATCCCTTATTTCTGCTGGAGCTCTGTATTGAATTACCTGGATACTTAATTAGACAGACTTATTTTGATTCTAAATATCCACATGACTTGTGCAATTATTATTCAGGCTCTTGTAACTTGCCTCTACCTTTGATACATATTGTCTAATGAGGGTCGTGACACAAAAACACACAGGTAAAAGATGTCTCTGTGTCATTCTAACCATCGTGTCAGTCCTGTTTTATGAAATATTTTGAGATCCTCAAACAGTAGGCATTTCATTGAAATAAAGAGCAGTATTAAAATATTGGCTCATTTCCTCACCTATTATAGCTGTACACTAGTCATGCTTCCTCACCCAGACTGGGGCCAGAATGCTATTCGGAGCACTTACCTGAGTATCAGATACTATGTATAGCATACCTTTATGAGGCCGTAGACCTCTTTTTAGATGCCACTGGCCTGAGAACCTGGTTGGTTCTCTCTGACTCCACAGAAATTCACTTTCCAATACTCTAGCTTCAAGGGGATTCAGATAAACAGTTTGCTCCTTCTACAGCACATTGTGAATGAAAGACAACACAAAAGTTTTGGAACAAATTCTTCTAGCCAGCAGAAAGTATATACAAGTCTGGGTTAAGAACATGCATGCTTTTCACCACTTTTATTTCATGACAAGTTTTTCTTCTGCTGCAATACACTTTCATGATTGCAGTCAATCATGACTTTCCCCATGGAACATGGCGCATATTATCTCTCTCCAGTCAGTTTGTTTGCCCAATGTCAGATGTATATTCTATTTCTAAAATATCGGTGTTCTTCGTCTTGCTGTTAATTCTGCTTGCTTGCTTTGTCAAAAATTCTACCCTGAGAGAGGTGACCTTACATTTGATTGCATAAGGATTTTCTTCATCATGACCTGGGCAGAACTGTTTTCTTTCAAGGCAAGCATCATCCTTTGCTTATATGTGCCACAAGTTCTGGGAGAAAACATTAAGTAAATTTGAGAAATCAAAAGTAGCAAGACCCAAGTCATTCTACTACAACAGCCTTTTGCACATAAATGTTCCAACTGTAACAGATCCCAGCTATAGAAATAATGGAGATAACTCTCCAGAGAATCCATGTGATCAGTGTTTTCTTTGGTTCAGTCTGGTAATAGTCCAAATCATTTCGCTCTTTATTAGCTCTCCTTCTAAACCTAGAGAACACTGTGTCACTGAATAACCTCTGAGCCCACTTTCTCTTTGAGGCTGTTGTTAAAGAAGGTAGCCATATGCTAACACCTATTTGAAGGGAAAAATCCCATCACAGCCTCATAGTAGGATTTTAAAGCTGTTTTCCACAGAGAACAGGCACCAGTACTCAGTTTTGCGTTTGAGAGACATCATTTATGTGAGATATGTCACAAAGCTAGGA